TCAATCGCGGCAAGGGGAAGATGCCACTCCCTCCCGATCCTCTCGGCGAAGGCGCCACTGCCACAGCCAAGCTTGCTTTCGACGCTAAAACCACCAAGTATGAGACGGACTTCAGTCTCTGGGAGCAGGCGGATGCGGCAGTGATTAGGGTTTTCATCACCATCACCCCAGTCGAGTTAGTCAAGTCCTACCGCACCTTCCGCTCTGCGCATGACATTTGGAAGTACCTCCAGGATCGCTTTCATGACAAAACTGCCGTGGGAGTTGCAATCCTCATTCCTCGCATGTTCCAAATCCGCCTTGAGGAATGCCCGGGCATGGCAGACTACATCTCTGAAATCCGCAACATCCATGAGGAGCTCAAGGACATTGGGATCACCTTCCCCGAACAGGCACCTGCTGCTGGGCTTCTCGTCGGACTCACCCCGGCCTACAACGTCACCAGTTCCATGCTCAAGCAGCTCCCCACCAAGGAACTCACCTTCGAGAAAGTCGCTTCGGCCCTTCTCTCTGCCGAAAAGGACCTTGCAGCCCAGGCATCCGTCAATGCTGTGCGCTACTCCCCTGGCATCCCATTTCGTTCCCAGCAGGTCCAGAGGCGCAACTCCTTTCACCCATGCCAGTACCTCATTAGGAAGGGTCCACGTGCGGGGCAGAAATGCAACGGCACCAACCACCCTGAGGCAACTTGCTTCAAGAAGCGAGATGACGAGTGGTATGACGTCCACGGTGTCTCCAAGGACAAGCGCCCTCCCAACTGGGCACCACCCCGTCGCGTGAACCAGGTCGAGGCAGTGGAGGAACCTGCTCAGGCATTTGCTAGTGCCCCATCTGATGTTCGCCTTAACCTGTTGTTCTCTGGTGCAAGTCTTCTTAATGAGAAGGGGTCGCAGTACATCGGTGTTTCAACCACACAGGGAATTGAGTTCATACTAGACAGTGGTGCCACCCACACAGTGCTTAAAGACCAAACTGCCTTCGTTCCCTACCAGGCTCCCACCTCACTCCTTGGAGCCGATTCTAGCTTCGCCATCCAATGCCATGGGTCCTCCACAGTTTCCTGTCCAGCTTTCCCATCCGGCACAGTCACTGGCATCTGTGCCCCTACCCTCCGCTACAACCTTCTTGCACAGCGGGAAATCCAACACGCAGGCGTGATCACCATCTTTCCCAATGATGTTGACTACTGTGACATGTTTGACGCCAAAACCGGACTCCATCTTGCCCGCTTCACCCTCAACTCCAACAACCTGTACACTCTAGTTGTACCTCCCGTTCAAACATGCTCCCTCACCAACCTTCCGCTTCCATCCTCAGACTCCCCCTCATGTCACTGCCGCCTCCTCAATGACAAGACTATGCTATTTCATAACCGCCTCGGCCACATCAACTTCCGCGCACTTTCAGACCTTGCCACCAAACAACTCCTTCATGGGCTGCCCGCCTCACTTCCACAACCCCCCTCTCTTTCTGGACCACCTTGCCTTGACTGTGCATAGAGCAAGCTTCGGGAACAGCCCCATCCTCCCACTGAGTCCACCTCTACCGCACCTCTTGATCGCGTGCACATGGACCTTTGGGGTCCAACTCCTGTTCGTTCCCGTGGCGGACACTTCTACTTCCTTGTCATCGTTGATGACTATTCCCGCTATGTGTCCGTTCACCTTCTCACCGCCAAGTCTGAAGCCCCAGCCATTATCATGGAATGGGCAAGGCAGGCTCATTCACACTTCAAAACCAAAATCAAGATTCTTCACTCTGACGGTGGCGGTGAATTCCGCAACAACACTCTCAAAGCTTTCTGCTCTACTGAGGGTATTCGTCAGACCTTCACCCTCCCAGACAGCCCTCAACAGAACGGTGTTGCTGAGAGCCGAAACCGCATCCTGGTGCAGATTGCTCGCTGCCTCCTCACTCATGCTTCCGCCCCTCCCTCTCTTTGGGGATACGCCATGCTCCATGCTGCCGCCCTCCACAATCTCCATCCTCATCCTCACCACACCCACACCACCCCCGTAGAGCTGTGGACGGGTCAAAAGCCGTCCGTCCGCCCTCTTCGTGTATGGGGGTGCACTTCCTATGTTCTCCTCAACTCCCAAGCCCGTCGTGCAGCTGGCGGCAAGCTTGCTCCGAAAACAATCACGTGCGTGTACCTCGGGCACAACTCGGACTCGCCAGACTACCTCTTCCTCCATCCTACCACCAACAAACTTTATCGCAGCCGAGATGTTTTCTTCGATGAATCCCACCCGTTCTACCCCTCCTCCACAGTTTCTCCTTCTCCTCCGCCTCCTTCTCTTACTTGGGCTGACTTTGACAGCCTGCCACCACTCCATCTCCTCCTCTTCCTGCTCCCTCCACAGTTTCCGACCCCCCGTCACCCGCTTCCCCTTCCAGCACCACGCAGTCTCCCCCGCTCCTTCCCGCCCCCGAGCCCATTCCTCTCAAAACCTACCAACGCCGTCCTCCTGCTGCTGCTCCTCCTCCTGATCCAGCTCCTCCTCTTGATCCAGCTCCTGTTCCTGATGCTGCCACTACACCTGCTGCTTCTCCTCCTCCAGCTCCGCCTCCCTCCCCCATTGCTGGTCGCACCCGCTCGCGCAAAGCTCCCAAGCCTCTTTCCCTTTCCATTCGTGTCTCTCTCAATCCTCCTCCTGTCGGGGGTGATTATTCGCTCATGCCCTCCCTTCTTGAGGACAGACATGAGGAGTTGATTGAGATTGACTCAGCCATACACGCACTCTGCTCCCTCTTTCCAGATATCGCAGAATCTCCCACCCTCGACTTCTCGGACAACCCCTCCATCCCCACACCTCTCACCTATGCTGAAGCAGTTTCTGGTCCTCACGCCGCTCAATGGCTAGGGGCCATTGTCGCAGAGTGTGAGGCCTTCATTCACACAGGAACTTTCACAGATGTCTCTCCTCCCTCCGGCGTCAACATTGTGAAGGGAAAATGGGTTTTTTGGGTGAAACAACTTCCAGGCGAATTTCCCGTCTTCAAAGCCCGGTACTGTGCCAAGGGATTTACCCAAAAGCATGGACTGGACTTCTTTGAGACATTCTCTCCCACCGCCAAACCTCCCACACTGCGCACCCTTCTCGATGTTGCCGCTCGAGATGACATGGAGGTTGACTGCATGGATGTGTCCTCTGCGTTTCTGCAAGGGATCCTTCGAGAGGAAATCTACATGGAGCGGCCCGAAGGATTTCCAGCTCCTTGTCCACCAGGCACTGTATGGAAGCTGAATCGACCAGTCTATGGCCTCAAGCAAGCACCCCGGGAATGGCACAACAAGCTCAGGAGCACTTTAGGGTCCCTCGACCTTCACCCATCCACCTCTGACCCCAGCCTCTTCATCCGAGCAACACCATCCCGCTTCTTCATCTTGGTTTATGTCGATGACATGATCCTTGTCACCAAGGATCAGACTGAGCTGGCAGCAGTCAAAACCGCACTTGGTGAGAAGCTGGCTATGAAGGATCTTGGGAAACTGACGAACTATCTGGGCATGGAAATCACACGTGATCGCACAGCCCGCACCATCACCCTCTCGCAGAAGTTCTACATCAACAACGTTCTGACCAGGTTTAAGATGCAGGAAGCAGCTTCAATGCCCACCCCACTCTCTCTGCAGCACCAACTCACTGCACCCTCTGTTCCCTCACCTGAGCCCTGTGATGAGGCTTACCCCGAGCTCGTCGGTTCCCTCATGTACGCGATGATGTGCACTCGACCAGATTTGGCCTATCCAATCAGTGTCCTGTCTCGCTACGTTGCACCTGGTCGCTTCACGAGCCACCACTGGTCTGCCGCCAAGCGGGTCCTCCGCTATCTCAAAGGCACACAGGACTGTGTGCTCACTCTTGGCGGCTCTTCCCCTGTTCGCCTTGAGGGGTACAGTGACTCGTCCTATGCTGATGACCAGAGTGATCGGCGCTCTTCCCAAGGATATTGCTTTACCCTTGGCAGTGGGGTTGTCAGTTGGCGCTCCACTCGGTCGTCTTCCGTCTCACTGTCGACCTGTGAGGCCGAGCTGTATGCCGGGACCATGGCTGCCCAAGAGGCCCGTTGGCTCTCCTTCTTGCTGGCAGAACTTGGGTATCCTCAACCAGCCCCAACGCTTTGGTGTGACAACGAGAGCACCATTCATCTCACAAAGGACCCCGTCTTCCACGGCCGCACCAAGCACATTGAGGTCCGTCACTACTTTCTTCGTGAGCTGGTGCAGCGCGAGCAGCTGAAGGCTGAACACATTGCCTCCGACTGCAACCTTGCTGACTTGTTTACCAAGTCTCTTGTTCGCCAAGACCACTACCGCCTCCTCTCGTCCATGGGTGTTGGGCCGCCATGTGGCTGAAGTGTTGTCAGCCTAGGGGGTCTGTTAGAAATAGTCAGTCAACACTTTGTACTATATTCTATATCGATTAGGTTACTTTGTAGGTTGGGTGTAGATTTGTAATCCCAACCCTATCTGGTTGGGATTCCCTCGTAATCCTGCAAATCTGCCAACTCACCAATTGGAGATTTTCTAGGATTCCCATCCCATCCTTTCCCTAGCTTTGCTCAACCCAACCCTGTTTGTACTTAAGGCCTAGTGCCTTCCTTATCAAGCAATCAGTTCAGTTCCAATTCTATCACCTTCCAACAGTGCAGTTGGGTACGAGAAGCACGATTGCAAGCTTAGAAGGGAGGGCGAGAGAGGAAGCTAAACGTAGCTGCCATATACCTTCCTTGTAAGTATCTTCTCTACACCTTCAAGTTACTTCCACATACCCCCCTTACGTACCTGCCTGCCACTACGTACCTGCCTGCCACTACATACCTGCCTGCCACTACGTACCTGCCTGCCACTACATACCTGCGACGTTCATGGTGAGAGCTGAGACACAGCGAGGTTGAGCGAGTAAGCACAGGCGCAGTTGGCGAGGAAAAGGACGAGAGCACGTTGAGCGGGGATGGTGAGCGAGAGAAAGAGCGCAATACGTACCATGCATAGACTACGTACCTGCCACGTTCATGGTGAGAGCTGACGTTTTCCCAATGAGCAGAAACACAGCGAGGTTGAGCGAGAAGGCACACGCGCAGTTGGCGAGGAAAAGGACGAGCGCAGGTTGAGCGGGGATGGTGAGAGAGGGAGCGAGGCGAGGGTACTCGACGAGTAGCCAGGGGATGGAGAGGAAGAGGAGGCAGACGGGGGAGATGTAGTAGAGGGATGTGATGGGGTTGAGGGATACGCCTTTAGCTGTTAGGAGGATCTGTGGGGATGCGAAGGTTTGGAGATAGGAAAAATACAGAGAAAGAGCAGGAGAGAGGAAAGGGTTGAATAAGGTGTCAGAAGCCAGGGGAGGAGCCAGGGGAGGGAGAGGAAGAGGAGGCAGACGAGGGAGATGTAGTAGAGTGATGTGATGGGGTTGAGAGACACGCCCTTTGCTGTCAGGAGGATCTGCAGGGAAGGGAAGGAGAATGATAGGGAAGGGGGGGTGGGGAGTGAGGGGAGAGGCTCCAAGAAACACTGAAGAGGTGTAGTTGAGGGATGTGATGGGGTTGAGAGACACGCCCTTGGCTGTCAGGAGGATCTGCGGGGGGGGGGAAGGAGCAGAGACAGGAAGTAGAGAGAGAGAGAGAGGGAAGGGAGCCGGTAGAGGGATGTGATGGGGTTGAGAGACACGCCCTTGGCTGTTAGGAGGATCTGCGGGGGGGGGGAGGAGTGGAGACAGGAAAAATACAGAGAAAGAGCAGGAGAGAGGGAAGGGTTGAATAAGGTGTCAGAGGGGAGGCGAGAGTGGTGCAGAGGGGTTCTAGATTGGATTTTTGAGACGTCTCAAAACAACCTCGCTACACGTTTTTGAGACGTCTCAAAAACAACCTCGCTACACGTTTTTTAGACGTCTCAAAACAACCTCGCTACACGTTTTTGAGACGTCTCAAAAACAACCTCGCTACACGTTTTTGAGACGTCTCAAAACAACCTCGCTACACGTTTTTGAGACGTCTCAAAAACAACCTCGCTACACGTTTTTGAGACGTCTCAAAAACAGAAACAGGGAGGCGAGAGTGGTGCAAAGGGTTTCAAGATTGGGGAGAGGCATGCAAAGGAATGGGAGCGAGGCGGGGGTACTTGACGAGAATCCAGGGGAGGGAGAGGAAGAGGAGGCAGACGGGCGAGATGTAGTAGAGGGATGTGATGGGGTTGAGGGACACGTCCTTTGCTGTCAGGAGGATCTGCAAGGAAGGGAAGGAGAGGAGACAGGAAAAGGGAGATACCAAAAAAAAAGGCAATAAGAAGGTGTGGGAAGGGGTGAGAAGTAGGCGCAAAAGGGAGGGAGAGAGGCGCGGAAAGTAGAGGTGGGAGATGGGAGCGAGGCGAGGGTACTCGACCAGCAGCCAGGGGAGGGAGAGGAAGAGGAGGCAGACTGAAGAGATGTAGAAGAGGGAGGTGATTGGGTTGAGAGACACGCCCTTGGCTGTCAGGAGGATCTGCGGGGAAGGGAAGGAGTGGGAACAGGAAAGGGATAGAGAAAAAGAGGGGCGATGAGATGTTGTGGGAAGGGTTAAAAAGTTCGGGCAAAAGGGAGAGCGGCACTTAAAATTAGGGATGAGCAAGGGGCGAACACAAACATGTTCGTGTTCGCCCCTACACGAACACATCCGTTTGCCGAACCAAACACTGTTCGGTTCGGCGAACACTTTAAGCAAAAACACGTGTTCGCCGTTCGCCAGTGAAGGCGTGTTCGGGCGAACCTCGAACACGTTCGTGTTCGTCGCGGGGCAAATTGCAGCAGCGGCCGGAACACGAACGTGTTCGGGCGAACCTCAAACACTGTTTGGCGAACACTTTAAGCAAGTTCGAGGCGAACCGAACAGGTGTTCGCCCTTGTGCTCATGTCTACTTAAAATATCTGCCATTGGCAGAGGGAAAAGTATGGGGTTGAGAGAGACGCCATTGGCTGCCAGTCAGGAGGATCTGTGGAGTGGAGAGGGGAAGGTGAAAAAGGAGGGGAGGGGGGGTGAGGAGAGAAGGCTGTAGGAAGGGTAGACGGGTGATGTGATGGGGTTGATTGACACGCCCTTGGCTGTTAGGAGGATCTGCGGGGAAGGGAAGGAGTAGGAACTGGAAAGGAGAGAATGAAGGGGAAGGAAGGGTTGATTGACTTGACACGGCCTTAGCTGTTTGGAGGATCTGTGATGGGGTTGATTGACTTGACACGGCCTTAGCTGTTAGGAGGATCTGTGATGGGGTTGATTGACTTGACACGGCCTTAGCTGTTAGGAGGATCTGTGATGGGGTTGATTGACTTGACACGGCCTTAGCTGTTAGGAGGATCTGTGATGGGGTTGATTGGCACGCTCTTGGAATCACTATTGAGAATTCTCAAAACTGTTAGGAGGATCTGTGATGGGGAGAGAGAAACAGAGGGCAAAATCTTCAAGCCTACAGCCCAGCCCACAGAAGAAACTCGCCTCCCCATATGCTGCCACCGCTGCTACCCCGATGGTGGTTTTTTGAGACATCTCAAAAGTTGCCACCGCGACCCCGATGGTGATGGCTGGCTACCCTGATGGACAACCAGCCATGATGACTAGGCGAGCTGCAGCTTAGGAAAAAAAAATAGCGCCTCAAGGCGCCTCAAAAGCCGATGGTGATGGCTGGCTACCCTGATGGACAACCCTAGTTGGGCGTCACACTCCACTCCACGGGCCTCCACTAGCATCACATGAGGAAGGGCATGAGTGAAGGAGGCGACCTGATTGAAGAAGTGTTTTGAGACGTCTCAAAACACTTCTTCAATCGACTGGCCTCCCCTTACACCTATTTGAGACCGAGGCATTGGGCCTCGAAGCACACAACCCCCAGCCCAGCTGCGCGTGATAAAAGGGGGTTTTTGAGCCGTCTCAAAAACTCCCTTCTACTCTATCACGCGGCTATTTGAGACCAAGGCATTGGGCCTCGAAGCACACAGCCCCCAGCTGCCTGCAGCAGCATCCCTGTGGCGTTGAAACTGCAAGGTAAGGCCTTCAAGAAAGCAGCTCACCTGAATGAGAACAAGATGTAGGGCCTCAAACTCAAAGCACACAGCTGCAAGATGCAGCAGCACGCCAGTTGCGTTGAAATTCGCCTCCCCCCATACACTGCCATGGCTAGGGTTGAGCAAAAAAACGGGCTGGGCCCGGCCCGGAAATGCCCCGGGCCGGGCCTCGAAATTTGGCTGTTGGCCCGGGGCGGGCCGGGGGCGGCCCGCTTTTGGCCCGCCCGTTTCGGGCCGGCCTGGCCCGGGTCGGGCCCTAGACTTGTTTGCCACTCTAAAACAGGCCGGAAACACCATTTACCTATAACGAAGGTGCACCCGGGCCGGGCCGGGCCTTGCACGGTCCGAGTCGGGCCACCCTGGGCCCTGGCCCGAGTACAAAATGGGCGGGCCCGGGCCAGGGTCTTGCTCATTCGGCCCGGGTCGGGCCGGGTTCATGGGCCCGGCCTGGCCCGACCCATGCTCAACCCTAGCCACGGCCACCCCTACTGTGATGGTCAGCAGTGATTGCTCTCTCCTTGAGTACCTTCATTGGGCTTCGAGGCTCAACGGCAGGCAAGGGCTTCAAGTAAGCAGCTCACCTGAATGAGAACAAGGCGCCTGGCCTCGAAGCACACAGCCCCCAGCTGCAGCAGCACTCCAGTGGCGTTGAAATTCGCCTCCCCATACGCCGCCACCACCACCCCCACTGTGATGGCTACCGTGTTTGCGGAAGACTTTATCTGTTCCTCAAAACATAAGGGCCTTTAGCCTGCAGCTCACCTGAATGAGAACGAGGTGCAGGGCCTCGAAGCACACAGCCGCCAGCTGCAGCAGCACCCCGGTAAGGTTGAAATTCGCCTCCCCATACGCTGCCACGGCCACCCCCACTGTGATGGCGACCATGTTGGCAAAGGCAGAGGTTTTGAAGACCTCTCGTGTGAAGAGCACTCCGAGGAGATACACAGCGACTGGCATGAGGGCCTTGAGCATCTATCGGGGGGCGGTGGGAAGGAGGGGAAGGAGGGTGGGGAGGGGACAGATGAGTGAAGGGAAATGCGCCTCCCCATACGCTGCCACCGCCACCCCCACTGTGATGGCTACCATGTTGGCAAAGGCAGAGGTTCTGAAGACCTCTGGCGTGAAGAGGACTCTGAGAAGTTAGACTGCGACTGGCATGAGGGCCTTGAGAATCTGAGAGGGGCGTGAAAGAGGGGGAGGGGTGGGGGAGGAAGGGTAGCGAAGAGGTTCGGAAGGCCTCTCGTGTGAAGAGGACTCCGAGGAGGTAGACGGCGATAGGCATGAGGGCCTTGAGCATCTGAGAGGGGCGTGTATGGGGGAGACCGTGGGGGGTGGGAGAGAAGAGAACACACGAGTCGAGGGTCAGAGAATATTGGAAGGTCTCTCGAGAGAAGAGGACTCCGAGGAGGTAGACGGCGACAGGCATGAGGGCCTTGAGCATCTGAGAGGGAAGTATCGGGGGATGGTGGTGGGGTGGGGGGATGGGGGGGTGGGGGGGGGAGAGGGTGAAGTACACGAGTTACGGGAAATTTGCTTCCCCATACGCTGCCACCGCCACCTCCACAGTCCGCTGTGTGATGGTTACCATGTTTGGCGAAGGCAGAGGTTCGAAACGCCTGGCATGAGGGCCTTGAGCATCTGGGAGGGGCGTGAAAGGGGGGGTTCGGAGGAAGGGTAGAGAAGAGGTTCTGATGAATCTCGGGTGAAGAGGACTCCTAGGAGCCACGGCCACAAGCATGAGGGCCTTGAGCATCTGAGAGGGTAAGTGTGGGAGGGGAAGTGTGAGAGGGGAAGTGTGGGAGGGGAAGTGTGGGAGGGGAAGTGTGAGAGGGGAAGTGTGAGAGGGGAAGTGTGGGAGGGGAAGTGTGGAAGGGGAAGTGTGGGAGGGGAAGTGTGGGAGGGGAAGTGTGGGAGGGGAAGTGTGGGAGGGGAAGTGTGGGAGGGGAAGTGTGGGAGGGGAAGTGTGGGAGGGGAAGTGTGGGAGGGGAAGTGTGGGAGGGGAAGTGTGGGAGGGGAAAGCGGAGACACCATGTTGGAAAAGGCAGAGGCTCTCGTGTGAAGAGAACTCCAAGGAGGTAGACGGCCACAGGCATGCATGAGAGCCTTGAGCATCTGAGAGGAGAGTGCGAGGGGGGGAAGGGAAGAGACCATGTTGGCCAAGGCAGCGGTTCTGAAGGACTCTTGCGTGAAAAGAACCCCTAGAAGATAGACGGCCGCAGGCATGCATGAGAGCCTTGAGCATCTGAGAGGAGAGTGCGAGGGGGGGAAGGGAAGAGACCATGTTGGCCAAGGCAGCGGTTCTGAAGGACTCTTGCGTGAAAAGAACCCCTAGAAGATAGACGGCCGCAGGCATGCATGAGAGCCTTGAGCATCTGAGAGGAGAGTGCGAGGGGGGGAAGGGAAGAGACCATGTTGGCCAAGGCAGCGGTTCTGAAGGACTCTTGCGTGAAAAGAACCCCTAGAAGATAGACGGCCGCAGGCATGCATGAGAGCCTTGAGCATCTGAGAGGAGAGTGCGAGGGGGGGAAGGGAAGAGACCATGTTGGCCAAGGCAGCGGTTCTGAAGGACTCTTGCGTGAAAAGAACCCCTAGAAGATAGACGGCCGCAGGCATGCATGAGAGCCTTGAGCATCTGAGAGGAGAGTGCGAGGGGGGGAAGGGAAGAGACCATGTTGGCCAAGGCAGCGGTTCTGAAGGACTCTTGCGTGAAAAGAACCCCTAGAAGATAGACGGCCGCAGGCATGCATGAGAGCCTTGAGCATCTGAGAGGAGAGTGCGAGGGGGGGAAGGGAAGAGACCATGTTGGCCAAGGCAGCGGTTCTGAAGGACTCTTGCGTGAAAAGAACCCCTAGAAGATAGACGGCCGCAGGCATGCATGAGAGCCTTGAGCATCTGAGAGGAGAGTGCGAGGGGGGGAAGGGAAGAGACCATGTTGGCCAAGGCAGCGGTTCTGAAGGACTCTTGCGTGAAAAGAACCCCTAGAAGATAGACGGCCGCAGGCATGCATGAGAGCCTTGAGCATCTGAGAGGAGAGTGCGAGGGGGGGAAGGGAAGAGACCATGTTGGCCAAGGCAGCGGTTCTGAAGGACTCTTGCGTGAAAAGAACCCCTAGAAGATAGACGGCCGCAGGCATGCATGAGAGCCTTGAGCATCTGAGAGGAGAGTGCGAGGGGGGGAAGGGAAGAGACCATGTTGGCCAAGGCAGCGGTTCTGAAGGACTCTTGCGTGAAAAGAACCCCTAGAAGATAGACGGCCGCAGGCATGCATGAGAGCCTTGAGCATCTGAGAGGAGAGTGCGAGGGGGGGAAGGGAAGAGACCATGTTGGCCAAGGCAGCGGTTCTGAAGGACTCTTGCGTGAAAAGAACCCCTAGAAGATAGACGGCCGCAGGCATGCATGAGAGCCTTGAGCATCTGAGAGGAGAGTGCGAGGGGGGGAAGGGAAGAGACCATGTTGGCCAAGGCAGCGGTTCTGAAGGACTCTTGCGTGAAAAGAACCCCTAGAAGATAGACGGCCGCAGGCATGCATGAGAGCCTTGAGCATCTGAGAGGAGAGTGCGAGGGGGGGAAGGGAAGAGACCATGTTGGCCAAGGCAGCGGTTCTGAAGGACTCTTGCGTGAAAAGAACCCCTAGAAGATAGACGGCCGCAGGCATGCATGAGAGCCTTGAGCATCTCAGAGGAGAGTGCGAGGGGGGGAAGGGAAGAGACCATGTTGGCCAAGGCAGCGGTTCTGAAGGACTCTCGCGTGAAAAGAACCCCTAGAAGATAGACGGCCGCAGGCATGCATGAGAGCCTTGAGCATCTCAGAGGAGAGTGCGAGGGGGGGAAGGGAAGAGACCATGTTGGCCAAGGCAGCGGTTCTGAAGGACTCTCGCGTGAAAAGAACCCCTAGAAAGCGGTTCTGAAGGACTCTCGCGTGAAAAGAACCCCTAGAAGATAGACGGCCACGGGCATGCATGAGAGCCTTGAGCATCTGAGAGGAGAGTGCGAGGGGGGGAAGGGAAGAGACCATGTTGGCCAAGGCAGCGGTTCTGAAGGACTCTCGCGTGAAAAGAACCCCTAGAAGATAGACGGCCACGGGCATGCATGAGAGCCTTGAGCATCTGACAGGAGAGTGCGAGGGGGGGAAGGGAAGAGACCATGTTGGCCAAGGCAGCGGTTCTGAAGGACTCTCGCGTGAAACGAACCCCTAGAAGATAGACGGCCACGGGCATGCATGAGAGCCTTGAGCATCTGAGAGGAGAGTGCGAGGGGGGGAAGGGAAGAGACCATGTTGGCCAAGGCAGCGGTTCTGAAGGACTCTCGCGTGAAACGAACCCCTAGAAGATAGACGGCCACGGGCATGCATGAGAGCCTTGAGCATCTGAGAGGAGAGTGCGAGGGGGGGAAGGGAAGAGACCATGTTGGCCAAGGCAGCGGTTCTGAAGGACTCTTGCGTGAAAAGAACCCCTAGAAGATAGACGGCCGCAGGCATGCATGAGAGCCTTGAGCATCTGAGAGGAGAGTGCGAGGGGGGGAAGGGAAGAGACCATGTTGGCCAAGGCAGCGGTTCTGAAGGACTCTTGCGTGAAAAGAACCCCTAGAAGATAGACGGCCGCAGGCATGCATGAGAGCCTTGAGCATCTCAGAGGAGAGTGCGAGGGGGGGAAGGGAAGAGACCATGTTGTTGGTGCAACCCTACGGTTTGCACTCGGCTTGTTGTCCGTGTGCGTGAATGTGTGTGTGTATGGAATGGTATGAGGGCATGGGATAATATATATTTCATGCTTATAATTGTGTGTGAATGTTGAGTCATGATGTCGAGTGTGTGTGTCGAGTCAATAGCGAGTTATCGCTAGACGCGTGTTACGCGGTCGTTTGTGTCTCGCGCGCGGTTTCTATTTTGTCGTGCGCGGTTTCTATTTTGTCCTGTGTCGAACGTTCGGCGTGTCGCAGGTGTGTGCAGCAGACCCATCAAGAACTCAAGGATGAGTTTGTGATGAAGAGCCCGAGCCTTGGTGTCAAGCCTCAAGTGATTTCGAAGCTCGCCGAAAAGGGTACACCTCAAGATATTGAAGATAGTTACATTACTTTGTGTAGTGTAACATTTCACTTGGTGTAGGCCCTAGTGAAGGGTAGTTTCGAGACCCTTCGTGGTTGGGGACAGTGTGGCACTGTTCCACATCACTGTACCTCGGCTCTTGGGGTTTGTAGGAGCTGGGAGTCATTCCCAACTCGTAACTCTTCCTATCTTGTGTTCTAAGACTATAGTGGCTGCCATAGTACCGTTCGTTCAAACCGACGCTGTGTCGTCAATTCTTTATCAAATCGTGCAATCTAAATTGCTAATTGTAGACGACGTGAAGACGCTCCAGATCCAATTTAAATCAAGTCATTTGCAGCTGTGAGCAGAACGCTATCAACGTTTGAAGACGCTGTACAGAAATCCGTCTGTGCTCTCTATCTTTCGTTTTAGGCACATTCAAGCCTATTGTGACTATAACAAGTGGTATCAGAGCCCCTTGGAGCAGTTTCGACAATGTCTGGACCTGAGGAAAGGGGTGGCAGAGGTGCTGGTGGCAGTGGAGAAGCTCAAGCTCAAGGCCAACCCCGTGATTCAGCCATGGCGCCCATGCAACCAAGTCTTGGCCCACCTAGGGATGAGCCTAGGGTGTTTGGGCTTGACAAGTTCAACGGTGACAACTTTGCTGAATGGTCCTTCAAGATGGAGAACATCTTTGACCACTATGACCTGCTGGAGGTGATGGAAGGAACGGAGAAGCGCCCCGAGAACGACCCGGAGAAGAGCCCGTGGGTGCGGAAGAGCGCACAAGGCTATCTCTTACTTGGGCAAGCGTTGGGGAGCAGTCAGATCCGTCACATCAAGCCATTCCAGCGTGAACCAGAGAAAGGACCAAAGGCATGGGCTGCTCTCAAGGGTGTACATGCTCCTGCAACAGCGACGGTAGCGGTGGTGTTGGAACGGCAAATGGCGGCACTACGAATTGAAGAAGACGAAGCGGTTGAAGAAGGGGTGCAGAAATTCTTCGACTTGTTGACGCGGCTTGAGGGAGCTGATTTGAACTACAGTGAGCTCCAAAAGAAGACCAAGTTGCTGGCCTTACTCCCAGAGTCATGGTCCTCGCTCATCATCAACCTTAATCGCGACTTGCCCCGCCTCTCGCTTGAAGACGTGAAGCGAGCTATCCTTCAAGAGGATTTCCGCCGCCGTGAGTTGGCGAGTGCGGATGGCGCTGGGGCAGCGAGCATCGGCCGTGGATATGGTCGAGGAAGAGGCAGAGGACGAGGGGGAGGAAGGTTTGGTGGCAGCAACTTTGGCGGAGGCCGCAGGAGTGGCGGTTACGGCAGCGACGACAAGAGCTACGGACGCGGTCGCGGCCGATTCGATGGCGAGTGTCACTATTGCCACAAGAGCGGACACATGTGGCGCGACTGCTACAAACTCCCTGATGGTTGGACCCCTGCTCAAGGCCAAGAGGGTAGAGGAGCAGGAGGAGGGAGAGGACGAGGCCGTGGAGGCCGTGGCGGTCGCGGTGGCGGAGCTGCAAACATGAAGAGCGGAGACAACGACAAGGACCCGAGCGACGATCGATACCCGGGTCTATTCTACTTCGTGTTGACGCAAGTACCGGCTGGTCCAGAGAAGGATGAAGGCTTTGAGGAGCCAGCAGCTGTGGGGAAGGTGACCCTACACCCCCTGGACTATTGGGTGATTGATAGTGGCGCTACCTATAGCATGACACCTCGCCCGGACTTGCTCACCGAACTCGAGCCGTCACCGGTGAAGCATGTCACATCGGCTTTGGGGCAGCGAGCAGAGGTGAAAGGCATGGGCAAGGCCATGTTCAAGGGTGCTGATGGGAAGATGGTGGGCCTCAAGAACGTGCTTTGGATGCCCAGCCTTGCTGCAAACCTGATTTCCGTGCGGCGGTTGGCAAAGGCCGGCATGGACACGAACTCGAAGGGAGCCAAGACCTACACCGCAAGGCTTGGCGATCGAATTCTTTGGGACCTTCATGAGGACAGGGATGTCTACAACGAGATGTGGCAGATCCCAGTGGTCCCTATGCCTAAGGAGAGGCAAGTGGCAGCAAGCATCAGCACCAAGGATGGAGCGGTCGGTAGCGACGATGGCGCGAACGGTCGCGCTAAGGAGAATGAGTCCAAGAAGAGCAAACCTGGAGGGACCAGCAAGTTCAGTGAACCTAAGGAGAGTGGTGCAGCAACCAAGGAGCAGCAAAAGGGTGAGGAGAACCCAGAGGTAGCAGCGGAGGAGGACTACGGAGAGAGTATGTGGGGCGCTATTGCGAGCGCGGCATTCTCCAATCCAACTTCGGCTACGGGGGAGTGTGA